TTCTTCATACAGCTCAATCGATATGCGATCATTATTTTATGCATAATTCTACTATTAGTACTTCTGTTCTTGTATTTTTTACCTACTGCTGCATCCTTCTACATTCCTTCGCGCGCGACGCCCCTCTCACCGCGACGCAACAATTTCGTTCCTGCTTCACCACACCCGCGGCTGGGACTCAGTAGCACCACAAAGGTATCTCCCTTATCATAAGTATAAAGGAGGCAGCGGGAAGTTTCACTCGCCACCTACCGTCGCCTGCGGCGGCTGCTGATTTTTGTCCGCCTGAGCGGTGGAACCTTATTTGGTCAATTTTCAAATTGTGTGTTTTGAATATCTGTCGCCACTTGCGAAAAGGGATGGGACCCTTTTGGATGACGTGCTTATCATCACGAATTGCGTTCAAGCTTTTAAAGAAGGCGATGGCATCGAAACCATTGAGTTGCCATTGAACTGATAAGAGTTCCACCAAAAAACATCGAACGGCAGAAAAAGTGGCAGTTGTAAAGTACTAGAATTTTTGGGGAGAGGAGCAGTCGTATCTGTTTTGTGTAATCGATTCGCCGCACGCGATGTTCGCGGACGAGTTGCATTGGTACTGCAGACCTAGCGTTCTAGCGTTCTTCAAAAAGCCCGATCGATATTCGATTATTTGAGGCATTTCTGTTGCTTCTTTTGTTCCTGTATTCCTTCCTTGCTGCGCTGCTTGTGCTTCATTCTGCTACAATACTTCATGCGCGAAGTCGCTCTCGCCGCGATGCGACCTTTCTGATTCACTTGCATCGCACCCGAATTTTGTTTTTTTTTGTGTTTTGTCCTCATGATGGATGTTTTGGACCTTGAGGTTCGTCTGTATTAATCGGTCACAAGAAGTTCGTTTAATATGTTCGGGTTTTTCCTCTCGAAAATGGGAGAGGGGATGTGACGTAGGGTACTTTGCAGCGTTATCAGTACCAATACGTTTCCATCTAACCCGACGATATCAAATGGAACTCCAGTATTTTGTTAGCCCATATTATATTAGTTAATATTTTATTTTATTAGTATGAGTTATTGTTCTTGGAGCGTTCCTTTCTTTCGTATTCAAAATTGGCGGCATAACGAGTGATTTTGGAGGTCCAGAACTTTTTTGGTTTCGCGCGTGAATAGTGATGTCGACAAAAAAAATTTTCGAAGTATTCAAAGGCATGCAATTTTTCAACTAAGCCTTAGGAGGGATGGAGCACTAAGTTGGGCAAATTTTCAGCTTTTCGCGTGAAAGTTGTTTATCGGTTGGGCACCCTTTATCAAGCCTATCGCATTCCGGATAAAAGCTCATTCAACGCCTGAAAGTAATTTTGCCCAGCGATGTTGCTTTAGTCATTAATGTTACATCAGAGTCTATGTCTTGTTGTGAGGGTCCTTCAGGTTTGTACAAGAGGCCAGATACGCTATTCGGAAAGGTGACATACATCATGCGAAGTACTGGGTCGCTTATAGTTGCGCCAAAAGTAAAAATTAAACATGAAGATTATAACGGAATGCACTATTCGATCTTTCATTTATAAAGCAGTAACTTGGTCAGTAACTTGGTGGGTGGTTTAATGGAGTAGATTAAGTACTGCGGAGTGAAGTGAGTGATGTGGAGTGAAATGGGTACTGCAAAACTGTGATTTCGAACTGTACTGGCATTGTGCCATGTATGTC